ATCACCAGACGTGATCCAAAAAAAAAAAAAAAAAAAAAAAAAGAGAAAACCTGGTGACCTGGAGAGCACACTACAACCAGAAAGAGTGTGACCCTGGGCCAGGGACGTGGCTCAGTAGGACAGTATTCTTCTTCTTGGATGCTCCGTAAAAGAGAATTATTCTTCTAGGAAATTACTTGCCTTGCACATGTAAGGCTCTGCATTCTGTTCCCAGGACCACCTGGTCCCCCGTATACCACCAGGAGCAGCCCGCATGCACCACAACAAAAGGACTGTGACATGAGTGAGCACCGGGCCCAAGAGTGTGAGCCCTACAATCTGCTGTGTGAAGCCCATAAACCACCACAATGAAAAGTACATGAGCAGGGAACAGGAGTGGTAGAGTGGGTAGGGCACTTGCCTTGCACATGGCCAACCAGGGTTCGACCCCCAGCATTGTATAAGGTCCCCCCAGTCCTGCCAAGAGTGAAGAGCCAGGAGTAAGCTCTGAGCACCGCTGGGTGTGGCCCTCCAAATCACGGTCATGGTCATGGTCCTCCCATTGTTCATCAATTTGCTCGAACGGGCCCAGTAACGTCTCCATCATGAGGCTTGTTGTTACTGTGTTTGGCATATTGAATACGTCAGGGTAGCTTGCCAGGCTTTTGCCATGCGGGCGAGATACTCTCGGTAGCTTGCCGGGCTCTCCAAGAGGGGCGGAGGAATCGAACCCGGCTCGGCCGGGTTGGCTAAGCACAAGGCAAACGCCCTACCGCTGTGGTATCGCTCCAGCCCAGTCCCCGAATTAAATAACATAAAAAAGACAGTAAGTCCCTCATCCATGAGAACTTTAACACCATATCCCTCAGCGCTATCATATACAGCTGAGGTCACATGGTCATGACTATACGATTCCTGGGACCTTCAGTTTTCCACAAGTGGATTTCTGCTTTGGAGGCCACAGAACAGATTTAACAAGCCGACACAAGCACATGCCCCTGCCGGCTCACCAGGGAATGTGGTTAAATGAACACAAACTACGGCACAAATACCACCAGCAGTGAAAGTGAAAAAAAAAAAAATGACAGGCTACCAGTCAGTAGTAAGTGGCACAGAGACAGAAACCAGCAGGAAAGCTCACCAGGATGGAAAGTGGAGGGAAAAGGTGATGCAAATGAGGACGAGAGGCAGAGCGCAGAACAGGCAAGCCTAGACTCAGGAAGGAGGCAGGAAGACTAGAAAAACTGGGGATGGAGCAATCGGATGGCAGGTAGGGTGTGTCTGCCTTGCAAGCAGCTGACCCAGGTTTGATCCCTGGCACCCCATGATGGTCTCCAGAGCACCACCAGGAGTAGCCCCTGGGCATCACCAAGTGTAGCCCCAAAACAAAATAAAACAAAAAAGGACTAGAAATATCAGTTCAGGACCTAAGGAAGCAATATCCTCCCTTCAACTACTCAGAGCTGGACCTTCTCATTGTGGCTCAGTCCTCCGTGCTCCACTTTTCCCATGGAATTCCAGAGGACAGGGGCCAAACCAGGATTGTCCTGGGATGACAGATCCCAGTGTCTAATGCCGACATCCCCTTCGCCGCAGAACTGAAAAGAAGTGACACGTGAGAATGTGTGTCTATATTTTCTCCCTCATAACCTCCCCCAACACATTATAGTTTCAAAGAAATTGAACAGAAGGAAAATCAAATACAGATTCGCAAAAAAAACGCAATAAATTCTTTCTAGAGTACTAATGCTACCATATCGAACATAGCCTCTGGGGGATGAGATTCTGTCTCAAAGAAGTACCAGCCTTCCGAGCCTCCAGGCTGCTTCCATTTCACAAGCTGGATACTACGAACTGCCCCAGTAGAGCTTTCATCTGGGTTGGGATGGTGCCTTCCATGAGACTCTACATCTACCAAAGGAACAGGATTTCCTTCCAACAGTGCCAGAGTGATAATATAGGGAGTAGGGCACTTGCCTTGCAATTCAGGTACCCCCCCCCACACACACACACACACCCCGCTCTGGCATCCCCAGAGAACCTCCAGGAGTGATTCCTAATTACAGAGTCAGGAGTGACCCTTGAACATCCCTGGGTGTGGCCAAAAAAGAAAAAGAAGCAAAATAATCCTTCCAATTGCACAAGATTCTGCAGGTGAATTCTGAAGGTGACAGTGCTGTCAGGACAGGCTGGGAAGAAAGCGGCCAGTGTCAGCACCATCCTGGGCAGTGTCCGCCTGCAGGTCCTGGTCTTCTCTTCCAGGACAACCACTGCCTACATGAAGACCTGTGAAAGCATCTGTGTAATTTGGAGTACAGTCACACTACACAACAACTGTCTACATGTGAGTATGTGTTCTCCTTTTAGACTGGGTTATTTGAGCAGAGAGATTCAGTCTACTAATTTTGTGTGCGGTGTTTCCAGTTCTTAGCATGATATCTGATACATGATGATCACACAAGGCATGTGTGTTAAAGGAAAGGTGAACACAGGTAAAACAAACACAAGACAATGTTCATAAAAATCTGCATGAATCAAGGTAGGAGGGAAAGCCAATGATAACGAAAGGGACATTTTTGCAGGTACCCAAAGTTATTGGAAACAAAGACTTGACTGTTTGAAGGGTGGTGAGGATCCTGGTTCAAAGCCCAAGCACTGCTAGGAGCAACCCCTGAGCACAAAGTCAGAAGTGAGCCTTGGGCACCACCTGGGTGTGGCCTGAAAACACACAAACAAGCTCACAAAATCAAACAGGGGTTGAAGAGTTGAATGGCTGAACAGATCTCTCCTTTGCCTGGAGGAGGCCTGGTTCCATCCCCGCTACCAGCTGCTAGACTGGTCCCCTGAGTCTGCAGGCAGTAACCACACCCCACCCCGCCCCCAAACACACAGAATCAGGAGTAGTCCCCTAGCACCGCCAAGTGTGGCCCCCAAACAAACTAAGTAAATAAAAGCAAAACAGGAAGAGCACCTCTACCAGTTTTCAATCAGAAAGCTTTTGGGGAAATTTTCAGGTTAAGAAACCATTCAAACAAGAGTCAGGAGAATTGGTCGACGGTTGGAAGCCTGCCTCAAGTGCTGAGGGTCAAGCCAGTTGTGATAGAGAAGGGACCACCATGACAAAGACATCTGGAAATGATCACTCTGGATAAGAACTGCGTGCTAAAACAGGTAAAGGAACAAAGACGATAACCTCTCAGTATCTGTATTGCAAACCATATGCCTAAAAGGTGGGGTGAGAAGAGAGAAAGAGGAGGGGGAGAGGGAAGGAAGGGGAGGGGAGGGGAGGGGAGGGGAGGGGAGGGGAGGGGAGGGGAGGGAAGGGAAGGGAAGGCAAGGCAAGGCAAGGCAAGGCAAGGCAAGGCAAGGCAAGGCAAGGCAAGGCAAGGGGGAAGGAAGGAAGGAAGGAAGGAAGGAAGGAAGGAAGGAAGGAAGGAAGGAAGGAAGGAAGGAAGGAAGGAAGGAAGGAAGGGTGTCTGGTGGGTTGGGGTATGGGGGAACTAGAGACATTGGTGCTGGATGTTGGATCATTGTACGCCCCAAACGAAACCCCATTATGAACAATCTTGTGACTGTGCATCTCACGGTGATTCAATTTAAAAATAAAATACATTTTTTAAAAAGAATCCATTCTACAGTTTAAATCTAAAAACTTTATTCTATTTTGCCCCTTGTTTTCTTTCAACAAGACAAAACGAATGTCTTCACAATAATACAAAAAGGTACAGGTCTCAACTGTAACCACGGAAGAAACTGTTAGCTGCTTCCTAAATTTATGCCACTCACCAGTGCTAAACTATCAAGAAAAAGGCTGAAGGCTAGAGATTGAAGAGCGTGTAGGGCACCTGTCTTGCACAAGGCCAACCTGGGTTCCATCCTGGGACCACATATGGTCCCCAGAGCCCACAAGGAGTGATCCCTGAGTGCAAAGTCAGAAGCAAACCGTGGGTCCTCCTCCATCCCCACCGCCCCCCCCCCCAAATTGATGAACGAAATGAAAAAGAAAAAAAAAAATTGAAGGACATTCAAGGAGGGCCAGAGACATAGTAAAGTGGGTAAGGCTCTCGCCTTGCACAATCCAGTTGGGTCCAGGTTCAAGCCCAGAATACAGTCCCGGGGGCGGGGGGGGGGGGGGGGGGCGGGGGTGTTCCACCCATGCCCACAGCCAGGTAGTAAACCCTGAACAGGTGTAGTCCACCTCTCCTTCCAAAGGATCAAAACCATAATCCTAAGGACCACGAAAGAAACAATCCTATTTTTTCTAAGCTCTCCCGATCCACAAAAATTTAAGACCTGCAGCTGTTCAGCCCTGCTTGGAGACGCGAGGGTTTTGCTTTTCCAGCTTTAAGCCACCTGTCCCCAGCGCGGGTGCCCTCCGTGCACGGTCACACTTGCAACGACTGTAAACCCTGCATGAGCTGTCAGGGTGTTGGAGCATCTGCCCCGGAAAAAAATAAGCTCTTTTACTGGAATTAAACGGGGGTGGGGGGGGGGGGAGACTGGGGGACAATGACTGTAAACCCTGCATGAGCTGTCGGGGCGTTGGAGCATCTGCCCAGGGAGAAACAGGCTCATTTGCTGGAACTGAATAGGGGGCAAGTAGAGATGTGCAGCGGCGGGTTGCAGCGACCCGACGGGGTCCCCCTCCCCTGCCCACCCAGAGCAGGATCCTTTGCTTAAGTGGGAAGGGACACGGCTGTCACCAGCTCTAGGAGGAGCAGGAAGTCTGGATCCCCAACCCCGCAATTGCTTCATCGGTCCAAGACAGCCCAGGCGGTCCCTGGTCTTCCGCGGGGCAAGAGGGCAACAGTTGCCTCCTCTCGTCGTCCCCCTCAGGGGAGGACAGCAGGCAGGCGGCAACGACGCGCCGGGGTCGCCCCCAGCGGACAGCGGCGCCGCCCCCCTTCTCCGGCTCCCGTAGGACTCCCCCGGGAGGGGGGCCCCAACCCAGACGCCGCGGCCGCCGCCCACTTTCTAGCACAACAAAAACATCGGCCCGAAGCCCCGGGCCCAGCCCTTACCCACGTCTTGCTCGAAGGGGTTGGCGCTGAACAGAGGCATGTCGGCGGCGGCAGCGCCCAGCTGGCGGCGCTCGGGCTGGGGCTCGGCGGCGGCCGCTCCCGTGGGCTGGGCCGCAGCCGCCACTTCCTAGTCGGCTCGGCTCCGCGTCGGCCACTTCCGCCCGCGCAGCTGCCCGCGCCCCTGCCTGTCAGGCCCGAGATGGGTCGGCGCCCCGCGTTCCGCCCCCGTCCCTCGGGAAGCCCCTCCCGCCCAATCGGGGGAGCATTCTCTCCGCGCCCCCGGTCGGCGTCGCCCGCCTCGGGGGTTGAGGACAGTACCAGTCCCAACAATGAACAGGCGATCGTCGTGGCCACCTCACCATGCTTAGGACCCCTCCTTCCCTGGGAGCCGCGGAGTGGGGTGGTGGGGTCCTTTGGAGCCGGAAGTTGTCGGCGCTGGGAAGGCCCGAAGCTGTAGTGCCGCTGACGGCCCGGCAGGGGGCGCGGTGGCTCGGGTTTCTCCGCTTGGGGGCGCGGGGGGGTTGACCGGGCTCACCCAAGTCAACAGGTGAATTGGTGGTTGTGGATTCCTGGAGCGGCAAAGCCAGTCCCAGGCGCCCGTGGACGTGCGCGGCATTGGCGTTTCACGATCCCGTAGCCCCGGAAAGGGTCCGGGAGCGGAGGTGGCTTTCCGAGAAGGGTTTGCCCGGGGCCGGGAGGTTTAACGACGTTCTGCACCCTCCCTTAGCCGGGGTCCCACTAGCCTCGCTTTTGCACGCTCCTCTTTGCGTGTCCCCTGTGATCTGCTCTGGTAATGCCAAAATGAGTGGGAAAAGGAGAGAGAGAAGGAAGGTGCCACAGAGGCAGAGGGTGGGATGGCGTGGGGGTGGCGGGAGGGAAACTGGAGACGTTTGGTGGAGAATGTGCACGGGTGGAGGGATGGGTGTTGGATCATTGTATGACTGAGAATCGTGAAAGCTTTGTAACTCTATCTCACGGTGAGTCAATAAAAACAAATGAATGAGAAACACCCCCGTGTTCAAGGCTTTAGAGTGGCAGTGGATCATGTGCACACTTGACAACATGTGTTTGACCCCGGTCAGAAGAAGACTCAAGATTCACATTCCCAATGGACTGAGCAAGCTATAAATCTTATGAAGTACAAGCAGCCTTCCCTCTCTCTCTCTCTCTCTCTCTCTCTCTCTCTCTCTCTCTCTCTCTCTCTCTCTCTCTCTCTGTCCTTTACTTATACTTTTGGTGTCCGTGGCATTTAATCATTTTTTAATATTATTTTTATAAAGTTGTTCGCAATAATTTATTACATTCAGTATTCCAACACAACACCAATCCCACCACCGTTAGATCTTCCCACCATCATATTTCGAATTTTTCCACTCCTACCCCAAAGCCTGCCCCCAAAGCAGGAACTAAATAAATTATTTTGTATTGCTTGTTATGAATAATCCACTAAAAGTGATCCAAAACAGTTTCCTTAGAGGAAAAATTGTTGTTTTCAACCTGGAGCCATTAGTTCCTTGTACACGAGATTACTAACATGTTAAAGGTTGAACGTTGTGAGCATCTATATATATATATATATATATATATATATTATTTTTTCAAGATTGGTTGTCTTCTACTTTACACTCCAAAAAATGTGATGTGCTATTCTTGGTACATCAGTGGCCCAGAGTATGAGATGTCACAGCCACACACTCTAAAATTCTGAATAGGGTGATACAGCTGAGGTTAATTTATTTTTACCTGGATGGTGACTTTGGAGTTCGGAGGCATCTCTGCAGAGTGTTGCTCTTGTGTTGCTCTCTTCCGAGAGATTTATTTACGAGTCTCTGGATCATGGCCATTAATGAGCTTATATGGTGCCAGAGGTAGTTCATGGGCATGACTGCCAGGCTCCTGGAAGAATAGGCAAATGGAAGGAAGGCACCCATTCCTGACTCTGTGCTACTTAATCATTTCTTAACATAAAATGTAGCATGTGTTTTTGTATCTCCATTTTTTAATTTCTTATTTTTATTTTAAAAGAGTTCACAATAATTGATTACATTCAATATTTCAACATTAGTTCCACCACTATTACCCCTTCCCACTACCATTATTTCTAAGTTTTCCACCACCACTCAAGCCTGCTCCACAGGCAGATGCTAGATAATTTATTTTATATTGCTTGTTATGAATAGTATAAGATATGTAAGGGTCTATCACTCAGTGATCCAACAGAAAAGCAAAAAAGAAAAAAGTATGAAATATCATTAGGCTGCGAAAGCAGCTGCACACTTCTGGTATTCTAAAAATCTAAATAATTGGGGACCGTGGGGCTGGAGCGATAGCACAGCAGGTAGGGCGTTTGCCTTGCACCCAGCCAACATGGCCGACCCTGGTTCAGTTCCCAGCATCCCATATGGTCCCCCGAGCACCACCAGGAGTAATTCCTGACTGCATGAGCCAGAAGTAACCCCTGAGCATTGCCGGGTGTGACCCAAAAAGCAAAAATAAAATAAAATGAAAAATAATTGGGGTCCGGAGCCATCCCTGGTGTTTTCAGTCACTGGTCTCACATACCTGGGGTTTTCAGTGGATTTATTCTCTTGCATGGGGCCCAGGACAAGTCTGTGAAGATAGGCTGTGAGGGTGGCGGTGATTGGTTTCCCAAAGTTTGGGGCTGCTGGGGTTCATCTGGTACAGGCGGAGAGAGAGAATGCCTGCTCCCATCTGAGGTGCCCTGGTGAAATCAGCCCGGTGCATGGTCTGGAGCCATCCCTGCAGCAAGCTGCTCAGTTCTGAGATTCATTTGTGAGTCTCTCTATCTCCATGTTTTAGACAAACTACAATCATCTGTTTCAGTCACTGCTCTAGTGCAGGCATCTAAGATGAGTGCTAGGCAATAATAGGTGCCCAGTTAACACCTGTTCAAGGCAGCAAGGAATGTACAACCCAACACCTTGTTTCAGCCACTAATAAACCGCCATTATTGATGTGTGGGCTTGCAATTTTCAATGCTTTTAAAGTACTGAGAACCACTTCAGTGTTTTGGCAATAGGTCACCCAAGACTAGTTGACAACCTCTGGAGCAAAGATTTGGTGCATCGGGAGTCACTGAGGTAGGAAGCCTGCATGGCAGGCATGAGGCTGCCAGTATCACCACCGCCTGCATCCCTTGATACACATGGCTTGTGGCAGCCTACTCTGTGATTCCCTGTGCCACATGCACAGCAGCCAGGTGTGTGCAAACACTACCACTAAATCGTGGAATCCCCGGGAAGTACAGCAACTAAGCATGTTGCACCCAGTGAGGACCACCACAACATGGGTAAGGTAACAAGCTGGTGAACCTGGTGCCTATATATAGAGAGATGATCCGACAACCATTGGAGATGGCGATTCCACTCCCAGGCATGTGTCTGAGGAATATAAAGGACAAATTTGACAGATGCATGTGCTCCTGTGTTCCATACATTCTACTCTGTAGGCAGGATCTAAAAACAACTCAGTAAACCCCAAATGGATGAACTAATAATGTGATTGTACACACACACACACACATACACACACTGAAATACTTCTCAACTAAGAGAAGATGAAATCTTGCCATTTTCAAAGACATGGATAGAAGAGAATGATGTTACACTAAGTGAAGTAAATCATAAAGAGAAAGAAAAATGCTGGATGATTCCACTCATATGGTATTGTTATAGAAGCCAAACAAGGGAACAGAAAAAAAAGCAAAGTACACTCTTGGACTCAGGATGCAGAATGAGGTTGCCAGAAGGGAGGATACAGAAAACAAAAAAGGAAGCAGGCAGGGTCGGATAGACTGTGGCATGGGAATATTGATACTCTGAAAGAAAGTGTGAGGTGATGACTTAAAGATCTGTGATGAATCACCTCCTCAAGGGCCAGGGAGACATGCCCAGCCTGGGTTTGATACCAGCACCCTGAGCACCAACAGGTGGACTCTGTAGATCCCAGAGTCCCAGTAAGATGGCTCTGGCAGTCCCCAGAACCATGTAGCACCATCTACTCAGGCCCTAGCCTTGAGCTGCTGTCCAACTGTCCAACTGCAGGAAGTGTCCCTTAGGTACCCTGAGCAGCAACACACACAGAGCCAGCAAGAAAGAGGAAAATGAGGAGGAAAAGAAAAGAAAAAAGAATCACTCTTGAAACACATACAATGAAAACCAATGTTACTTCCATTCTAATAAAGAGCTGGTGCATAGAAGACAGAAATACAGAAATTTTACTGATAGAATAGTTTAGAAAGAGAGTTGCAAGGCCAGGAAGAAGGCTCAGAGAGCTAGAATGCCTGCTTTTCATGCACGAGCTCCAGGGATCTCTGAAGTCACATGGTTCCTCAAGCCCCATTCTGAGTGAACCCTGAGTACCACTGTGTGTAGTCCAAAGTTCATAAAAGCAAACTCAAAAACTTACTTGCATTTTAATTTTTGTTTTCAAAACTCAGGAGACCTCTCAGATTCTCTGCTTGCTCAATCAGCGTTCCAGGTGAGGTTAACCTCCTGACTGATATCCCTGGAGCCTTTGTTTGTAACTGGGAGTGAATTCTTCTCCATTCCACCTGGACCCTGCAGCCTCCACACACATTTCTGCCTTCTCGGCAGGCCCACATCCTCATCTCAAAATCTCCACTTCTCACTTTCCCTTCCAGACCCATAACCCCATAATCAAACCCTATGCCCAGAGCTCCACTATAATGTGTACCCTGAACTGACAGTTCTACTCATCATGCTTCACACCGTACACTCTCATACAACCTGTCACTGGGTGAGAAAACCAGCAAGAAAAGACAAGAGCAACATCAAGTGTCATCCCTCAGAGACTCCCATTGGAAGAAACTTCAAAGATGCACTCTCAGAACATGGCAAACACTATGGGCAAGACACCTAGAAGCCCACCATGTTCAGTGAGGAAAATAATAACACAGAAGGTCTATCAGTACCAGCCAACTCTGTAAACTCTCAGATAATGATTTCAAAGACATCATGGTGAGGATGTTCAATTATCTCAAAGAAATAAAGGTACAGGTAGTCAGTAGAGCACAAAGTATGAGAGCAGAAATGAGAAAACTACAGTCAGGAGTGAC